TTAGTGAATCAGCTACAATCAGTTTATGATTAATACCTGAGTTAAGACTAGTTTCTTCCTTTTGTGTGTCACTTTTCCAAGATACTTTCACATCAAGTGTCAAGAAATCTCTCCTCTAATCTGTGTGCCTCCCGATCTATTTGCCCAAGCACAGGGGAGCATCCGAAGTCCCTATTGTGACTATTTTGTTAATAGTTTTTTTGAGTTCGCCACTGCTCACTCCATTTCCGTTTCTTAACCTGGATATTAGCACCAAAGATCTGCTAATGTCTTTATTTTCCAAAAGTTGTTAAAATGCTTTGGAATTTCTACTTTAGCATTTATTTATTTGTCTTCAGAGATTCAGTTTCATAGTCCTTCCCACTTAAAGCTCAGCTAAATAATGTTCATGTTTTTCTTCTATATAGTGGTATCTCCCCTGCCTCTGTAGCCAGTCTTTCTTTGTTGAATAGTTTCTATTGTCTCATTACATTTCCCTACCACCCATTATTATTGAAATCATCCTGCACAGCAAAATACTCTGTTTTTCTTTTGCTTTTAAGCTTGTTACATTTGTCTAAATACTTACACTTATTCAACTCCTTTTTCTGATACCTTCCCAGTTTATTGAATTCCCTGTTATGCATTTACCAAAATTACGACTCTCTGATGGTCGTAATTGGCATGATGTTCTCTGAATTCACAAGATGCTGCCATATATACAGATGTCTTTAATAGACATATCTGACTAATATGTTCCCCAGATCCTCATAACTTCTGGCTTATTTGCAGGATCTACTTCTGTTCTGGTCCTCTCCATTTTCTAGCCTCTCATTTCCCCTGAAGGTTTCCTCACTCTCTATCTGACAAACTAAAACGCCTTCTTGAACAGTCTTTACTGGCGACACTCAGAACTGGAATAGATCTCACTGCCTCATCAGGCTTGCATATGAAGCAGGGAATAACTGAGTCAAAACCATTAGCCTTGTCTCAGACCCAGAGTTTTCTATCAAGCCAAATGATGTTAGTTCCCAGACAGTCTCTCTTACTTACTGGTAAGAAAAGCTCATCCCGTGTCTCATGACATCCATTGTTTTGGCTGCAACTAAGAAGTTTGCTGAGTTCATGTTCTTCACAACTGCATTCCTGGAGATAACTGGGGTTATTTATCTCTCCAGTCTCATTCTGACTGGTAGCAAAAGCCATCTTCAGTTGCAAAGAATCGCATTTTCTGCCAGAGAAGTGTGATCTGACCCTCCATTCTGTAACCAAGCTTCTCTTTCACCAGGAGGCTGGCTTCTTAAAACTAAGCATTGGCCAGTGGGTGCCTAAAAGCCACCATTCCCCTCCCATCTGACCTTTCAGCTTCTGAGCTTCCTCAATTTCTTACAGACATCTGCAGAATTTCAGAACATTTGAAAGTAAAGAAGCAGAAACTCTGTAAGATCAAGGCTCCTTAACAGAAGGTAAGATATTTTCAACAGTCAGAATAAGAGTTACTATCTTTGTATCTACTTGCTTAAGTTTTAATAAAAATGGTGGGCAAATAACTGTCAGAACTGTATTGCCCAAGAAAGTTCTTTCTCATTCTCACTGTAATGTATCACATTTCCCTGAATCTTCAAAAAATACACTTTCAAGTTAGATTCCTAAACACACGAGTAGACACCTAAATAAATAGACTGAGTTTCACAGGGGGAACCTCCTGTAGTCTTAAGTAGGTACCAAGCATTGAAAGCCTTGGGCCAAGTAATACATTACAAAGCTAAAATCTGAATGGAGACAGAGGAAGTTAAATTCCTGATCTCTTTTCTAAAATTTTAATATTATTCATTAATCATTATTGCATTGGTAGTAATTTAATTAAAATTGATGAGAATTAAGAAATCTTTCCAGAAAGTTGCATTTGAATTTTCTGCACTATTTGACAGGGATCAGAGTGGAGCAACAAGACTATAAGAATAGAAAAAAACTTTTCAACAGGGAGGGCAACGGAACTAGCCATATTAGTAAGTAAGCAACTAACTGAACAAGGAGTGAATCAGTGACAGGGAGAGAGAATGCAGGGATGGAAATTCAGCACTCCCAGTCCTCAACACAAAAGAAATAGGATTTCAATTGCATAAGGAAAGACAGGAAATTTAAAACTGGTAAGAGGACATACTTTTGCCTGGGATCCACAATTAGACCATTTTATTATATAAAGAATTTAAATTAGATTGCTACAGGATGCTGAGAAGGCAGTTCACCAAGCTTCAAAGAATAATTAAATGTTTCTAGAGTAAACAAAAGTTGTTAACAGTTATTCCAAACTAATAGTAATAGTAATAAGAGTAGGAGTAGGAATAGGGGTAATGGTGGTAACAACAACAACAGTAATAATAATAATAACAATGGAAGCTTTATGCTTGAAGGATTAAATCAGTCTCTGAATTCATGGGATTAGTGTGAGGTCTTGAAGGGGACTATGCAGGACAGGGTCAAGGATGGGAGAGAGAAGACATTATCTTATATCCGGCATTTGTGGCATTTCTTTGCCTTCATCTGAAGCAGGCAGTGCTGAGCACAGGCACAGCCTGTACTGGGTGGATCGTGATTTTGGTGAAGACAGGCAAATTTTTAATACATGTGTATTAGCTGAACAGGGGAGTTTTTTTCATTGCCCTTCAGTGTTTCACAAAGATTTTTTTTCCTAAAGTTTCTAGTGTTCATCTAACTGAAAAAAAAAAAAAATTGATTGAAAAAACCCCATGGATTCCTAAAGTAAGATTTGTAATAGAAATAAAAAAAAAGGTAACTGTTTCCTATTTAACTGATAATAAAGCTAAATAACCTGCCAATGATGCTGAATTTTAAGCTGTGCCAGGGTACAGAATGCTACTGTTCATGTACAGCTGCCTTCACTTCTTTGTTCAGGTATAGAAAACTGGGCAGTTAGTTTTGGTTTTTTGACTGAATTAATTACAGCAGGGGAGCAGGCTCTCCCAAGGTGCTCTGAGGTTCATCCCTTGCCACCTAGAGAGACATCCTTGCACAGTGTGGGGCTGAGGTGGATGCTGGCAGAGGCCACAGAGGTACATAGGGCTGATGGCAATGGGGCCGGTAAGGCTGCATCAACCATCAAATGGGCAACTTGTCCTGCTGCTGTGGCCAGCAGCACAAGGGCAGCTGTAGCGCAGGTGTCCCCATGGAGGGTCACCCACAGGAGCAGGGCCCCAGACGATGGCGCTGCAGAAGACAACAAAGCCACATTACAGTCTGCAAGGCTGTATCGGTCTTCACTTCTTCTCTACTCTCCCTAGAGGACTCCTCAGTTTATTTTTATTTTTCAGCCTTCCTTGAATCTCTTTCATTTCCTCCCCTCCATAATTATACATCATTATATCATGTATTTTTGGGCAGAAGTACGTGAATATTTTTAATTATATCAAGCCTTTTAGAGCTGCATTCACGGAAGAGAGTACGACATATACACCTGCAGTGTGCCACGGGTAACGTAGTGGTGCCTTCCTCACGGTCAGTTGTGCTTCCCAAAGTCACTTCTCCACCCCCAAGTACTTTCACTCATCTCTTTTCAGACCACTAAGCAACCACTGTCAATCACCCTTCACGCCCCATCCCACCACTTTCGCTCTCAGTCATTTGCCCACTGCCATGACTCTGTCAGGAAGCACCTCACCAAACCATTGCAAACGCCCACCCTTTCTTACTCACCTCCTGAACCCTTTCATGCGGGCAGGGATATTCAACAGTAGCTCAGCTATAGCTGTTAGTACTGCGGTAAATGCAGAAAATTCAAAGCGAGAGAGAGAGGAGGCAAGTGAGTGATACAGGCACTAGGTGGGAAGTTCCTTAGACAGAATATTTAGCAGGTATGACTGTCTTGGTGGGACTGGGGAGTGCAGGACACTGGCATGCTTGAAGCACTTCTGCTATGAAACAACTACACGCAGAGGCAGGTCCCCTTAGGTTCAGTAAGTACAATGATCTCAAGAGAGAGAAACTCTTCCAGAAGGTGACTCAGAGAAGAAGCAGCCTAATGTGGGTATTCCCATGTTGCCCTCCGGAGAAACCTCTCCTCCCCTCTGTTGAACATAGAGGGAAAGTCCTTGCCTACACACGCGAGCAAGAATACCTCATTTAATCTCTCTATCTTGGTGCATCATCTGTGGATGGTGGTAATGAAGTGCTTGACTGGAGCATGTGGAGGAGTGTTCCTGGAAGGTGAGCACAACAGCAGCTGTGGAGAATTGCCCGCAGTGGGAAATTATGAGTGGCTCTGCATGTGCACAGAGCTGTGAGTCCCCCACAAAGCAGTTGCCCATGGTGGCTGAGATCAAGAACAGATTCTCTTCTCTCTGCTACTCTTGTAGAAAGGGCCATGGTATTTCCCTTTGGGGATTGTGTAACACAGCAAGTCAGTTTTAGATGTGTTTATCTGAAGTGGTTTTATATTCCTGCATGAGCTTGCTGTAGTAAAAGAAAGGCTGCCATTAGCATTTGCATATGTCCTCAGTTTTTGAGTGGAAAATGATTACAAGAAGAAATTTCTCAACGACTCTTCAACCTGAACATAGCTTATCTTTTCTTTCAGCCTACTGTTGAATGAAATGTCATTTCAAGCTAAGGGAGGCACTATTTGACAGAACAATAGATATCTCTCCACACTTGTCAAGTTAAAGAGCTATTAGAAGATACTATATACAGATCTATTATCTTACATAAGTATTATGCAGAATCTAAACATACTTTTCTCTATAAATATATCTAAAAGGTAAATATTGGTGATATATATATATACATACCACATACATATGTATGTTATATATATGCATATATATACATCAGTACATGTGTACGTATGTATAATACTGAATGGTTTAAACAACTATGTGAAAAATTGAGATCCATGTAAAGAAATTAAATGCCGCATTCCATTGCCGTTTTCCCAGCTAATGCCTGTCCTCTGAAATAGTTTGATTCATTAGCAGAGTCCACCATTGAGTGGTTACAGATGCAAAAGATCCATCTTAGACATTGTAAAGGCTGAGCACTAGAGCCTGCACTTACTTCCCTTGAGCACCTGCTTCATCCACAGCCTTGACTTTGGGCAGGTACTTGGCGTGCTAAACTGAACTTTCCCACAGTTCAGAGACAAATCTCTCATCTACAGAAATGATCCCAGAGCAAAGCTGGTTGTGTTACCAGAGGTATGAGGGTAGTGCCTGCACAGAGACTGGGCAAATCCTGGAAGAGAACGGCCTGGACCATGCACTTAGGGTTTCAATTACAAGGTTCACTTAATGCAGAAAGCCTGCTGCTGCAGAAGGCCACAGATGTTTTGTTACTCTTCCTTACTTCTTCCTATCTTTACAGACATCACAGACACACCGTGCATAATATGGGTTTATTCAAGCTTTCTGCTGGGAACTGTGACCTGACCCCAGATCACTGAAGATCTTATCCCAGCTAGCAAGTGCCTGTGTGGGATCTTACAGTTTTGTCCTTCACAAGTACTTTGTAGCCGTGTCCATTGACAATTAAATCTCCTTATTGTGAAGCAAATAAGGATAACAGCATTTTCTGTGTCCACATAGTCCCTACACTGATAAAATGCTCAGTATATATTGAGAATATAAGTGTGCTCAGTCCATTCACAACACACAGTAAGTGTGCAATTCAATTAACTAATGCAATTCATATTTCATTAGGACAGAAGCTGTTTGTGACCTTAACCGGACAACAAATTCATGACAGAATTGCAGAATTTTAATTAGACAGAAAAATAACAAAGACAAATGAAACAGAGGGAAAACGCGCTGCCTGGCAGAATTGTTCCAAAGAACTTAAAAACAAAAGATGTGGTTGTTCTGCTACGTCCTTCTCCTTCCCCCTTACTAATGATGCAGAGAACAAAACATTATTGCCTTTCTTTGCCTCTGATTAACCATTTGTAGAGAAGGCTATCCCAACACTGCTCCTATGCACCTGGTATGGTACTGAAGGACACAGGAAAGAGAAATGTAAGGGCCTGGTTTACCTTTTTTTAAGGGGTATTTAAGTGAAGAAGAGCTTCCCTAAGAAGAATCATTTTTATATCAGTTTTTCAGATTTGTTACAAAGGCCCAAATATTGGCCCTAAAATCATTTGTGAATTAAAGTGGTAAACCAGCATCAAGAGATATGATTAATAAGATTACTTGTTAGCATGATTAGAACAAAATAACACACAAAATCACAGTACATAAAGGACTGTACTTAAAGTAGAGAAGGATTCCTGTGTTCAGCTGCAATTGCTGTAACATTTCTTTCTGTGATACTCTTAAGAAAATGGGAACAGATTAATAAGGTTAGTTATTATGGTCCTATAGTAATTTCATCCTTAATCCAAAGTATTACCATGTATGCTGACCCCATGTGAGAACAACGGCTCCCTACCATTTGTAATTCAGTTTCATTATTTTACTACACATTGCCAAACCTGTGTCTTGTATTACAGAAACATAGAAGGACGAGATCCTTTGGTTTTTAAATAGTACATTTAAAGAGACGACAGAAGGATGAAACTACCAGATCAGAGTTCACGGTCTGCAAAACATGCTCCTTCCCCCTGCCCTTCTCACAGACTATGACTTATGTTTTGAAGATAAAATCAGTAAATAAATTTTGTACAAAGCTGGCCAGGTTTTGTATTAACGGCAAGACACTGTATATGAAGCAACTGGATATGCATCAAGATGTGTCTGTTTAATCAGGATATTTGTTGATCTGGGTCAGTAACAGGATAGTTATTTGTCCCTGGCCAGTGGGTGGCAATGGCAGCAAACGGCTTATAGTAGACCAGGACTGATTTTGATAACATGTCCAGATGGGTATGATTTAAATAAGTAAATATATTGCTTTGTATAAAGAGATGTTTTAAAATTAATTTTAAACCAATGTTTACATCTGCCAGTCACTAGATGCTACATACACACTCTAAATATTTGACTCAGGAATATAATCAGTGAATAAAAATTGCCTCCCCTTCTCTGATCCTAAAACCTCTGATGTTTTTCTTCTTTATGCTATATTAGGTCAAAACAATAGATCAAGTTCTCTGTATATTCATATTATTTAGTAGTGCTTTTACCAAACTTACTGTGAGCTGACGCTAATTTTACTGGAACAGATGAAGTTACTTTATTGTCGAATATGTTTTTAGCGCAATGAAAGCATCAAAACAGTACAGCTGCTAAAGGAGATCATGAAAAGGGAGTTTCCAGAACTCACTGATATTAGCTGCTCACCCATACATTCCCTTCCTCTCAAGTTTCAAGATGAGATTATTATAAAAAAAGGCTGATTTGTCAAAAAAAAAGAAAAAAAAGAAAAGAAAAGAAAAGAAACTGTCTGAACAAATCTGCAAATAAATCAGCTTGGGGGAATTCCCACGTCTGTGTCTGACTTCCATGATCAAAATAAGGCATCCTCAACCCAATAAAAGAGTCTGCTAATTTTTTAGTACTTAGTCAGATACCGATTGGGTTTGTGACCATCACAGCTCCTGCTTCACGAAAACTGCACTTTAACCATGGCTGGTCCAGCCTGTGCCAGACCCCTCAAAGGCCAGCAGGGTGACTGCTTGGGGATGAGCAGGGCTACGGAGACCAGTGTGGTGGCCATTGCTGGTCACAGCGGCAGCGTCTCGCCTGGCCCCAAGTACTGCCCTGAGTCCCCGAACCATGGAGGAGCTAGGCCTGGGCTATTTATTTGTAATGAGTACCGTTGTGCAGCCAAATTGCTGTGTACAGCTTCCTTTTAATTTTTTTTCCTGTTAAGTTTTTGGCTTGGCTGATGGAGGACAGGGAGGGAATTCATACCAGCAAAACTGCTTCTCATCGGACTTGCGGGGGCCTCATTCCAGTCTGTGTGCTGGCCTTGGGCTGACCATGTTACAGACACTGTACTGGCATTATTTTAATACTTTTCTTTTTTTGTTTCCCTACACTTAAATTTACAAATTTGATGCCAGATTTTTTTTCTTCCTCTTACAGTACTGCAAAACTGCAGTCACACCACAGCTGTGTTGGGATCTGCTCTGCACTGCCAGTGATACCACCGACAGCTTTTAGATAGAAGGAAGCTGAGGCTAAAGAGCAGAGAATATTTCTCACCCCACATTGTTCTCAGAGACTATTTCTGGCACACAGGAAGGACTCGCAAAATCACCATCAAACTTATTTTAGCCAATTCCATACACGACTTGAAGTATTCCAGAGGTGTGCATCAAGCCTCAGAGAACTGATGGCAAATTTCGTTCCCTGGTTAGACATAGAACTAAAAGTATGACACTCTAGGGGCTGTCAGGAAGTACTTTCTTTGAACAGCAGCGAAAACAGCCTTCAAATGATACATGAGAATATTAGCAGGAGTGGGTCCATTCTAAAATGAACACTTTGATAATCATAACAATGTGGTTTGAAAAGCATCACTTTAAAAGGTCAGCTATACCACCCTCTGACTCCACATTGAAAGCATAGTGGATATATTGAGTCATACATATTGTTCATTGTCATTTGCATTTGGTGAAATCCCTGCATTTTACTCAATTTAGTAAGCAAGCACCGCCTTGGGCTCCCTTGGCAATACTCACCTCTAAATGCAGTTACTGTTTGTTGGGCTAAAACATCTTGTCCCATCCTGCAGCAGTAAATCACTCTTTGGTCTTTTGATCAGTGTTTGTCCTTTCAAGCCTGTGAGTCATTTCACGTTAATGGAAACAGAGGGAGCGGCACACTAGAGCAATGTGGGTATTTTGAGCTTCACCTCTGGGATACATTCATGCATGTTGCTCTGAACAAAATGACCATCTGTATCAGTCTGCAGACTGCCACTAGTGCATAAAGATTTAACTTCATATTTGTGTGGACAAAGACCGGCTTAATTCTACAAACACCATGTAGCATCACCGGGCTGCGTGTCATGAAAAGGCCTTACTGAAGCTAAGTACACCTTTTGCATTCCAGCCTTTTTTGAAACTGTCCTTGGGATTTGACCTCATGGCCTTTTCCCTATTTTTTGCACATCACTTATCACTAGTAGGGACTGTTTGACTTTCCAATAGTCATGTGAGTGACATATCCAACCAGAGTATGGCGGAAGCTGTCCTCACCCTTCCGGGGGCTACATCTGAAGAGTAAGCAAATTCTGTGGGTATTTAAACCTTTTCTTATTTTCTATGAGCAATGTAAGAATGACTCATTCGTGCTTCAGCCGGAATGTATAGTTAGTAAACACTGGCAGGGAGCAATTGCATTTCTAGATTTGTAAATCCAAACAGTCCATGCTGCACCGGCTCTTGGGTCCTGTTACTGATCTGAGTTTTTGGTGGGAAGGACAGGGCAGGGGCTCAGCTCACACAGCTGGACAGGTCTGGTACTACAGCAGCTGATGTAGGAACCAAGAGCTGTCCAGCAACAGAGCTACCAGGAAGAGGTGGAGGAAAGGAAGAGGCACCTTCCCATCATAGCACTGATAGAGGCTTTCAAACCATTTCTGAAAATAACAATTAAAAATTAGAAAAATAAAGCCCACAGACATTCATGGATATGCAAAGCAACATGGAGCCCAGCCCAAAGACCACCAAAGGCAGACTCCAGTCACGGATGCTCTGGATTGAGCTCTGCATGGAGGGTAGTCAAACACATGCCCCTGCCACACACACACTTTTATTTTAAATCTAGTTGGTTTGCTGACTGCATATATACCATGCAGAAACTGCCCAGGACAGAAGTCACCTCAAAGTGCATTTATAAAACCTAATGCTTTTATAGTGCCCTGGAACCATAATGTTGTTTGTAAAGATTTTTGTAAGGGTTCGATGAACACGCTCCATCCAAGAAGGTATGTATGTCTGTAGACAGCCACTTACACCTTCTCCTTGATATGGACAGAAAGACTAGTGCTCAGAAGATTTCATTTAGAACCCTAACACAATCTACACAAGCAAACGAGATGGAAAATTTGGAATGGGAACCTCCTGACTTGCTCTCTCTCTCCATTAGCTACCAGAAGGAAAGCACAGCAGTCTTGCTGGGGCAAACGCTGAGTGTCATCTGTGGATCCTTCCTGTTTTCCTGCTCCTGTTGGACTGGGGCATCTGGGCTGTCATGCCTCCTAGTTGTTTGCCTGTTGATTTCCCAGTCCCCACTAAGGCTGCAGCTCATGCAGCTCTGCATGGCTCCCCCACTGCTGTGAAGTTTCTCTGAGATTCAGCACATCCCTCCAGTGATGCCTGTTCAGAGTTACCCGCTGATAAGTAATAATATGTAAAACTCAATTACATTCATATTCATAGCTGGCTGCTACTTAACAATGTTAACGATGGGGAAACTTGCCCTACAGGAATGAGGATGGGGACAAACTTTTATTAGCCCCACATGGGCTTTTATCTGTTTTAAATGTTACATTGTCCCAGGGAAAGAAGAGCCATTGTTAGCAACAGCATTGGAGGCAGTCAGCTGCACTCAATTTAAAATTAAAAGGGTAAGAAAAAATAAATGAAAAGAAAAAAAATAAAGGTCTGCCTGATGCACTGCAGTATGGCAGGCTATGGTAACTTGCCCCAGAAACGTTTTATTGAATCCAGCCCTTCAGTACAAAAGAATTCATTAACTGCTTCATGATGTAAAGTCTGCTAAAGACATTACACTCACTGGCCAGCGTGAGGCTGCTCCCATATGCTGTAGTGTTGCCTTCACTGATCGGCATCAAGTCCAAGATCACATCTACATGTCAATGTTACCAAGTCACGTGCACAAATGTTGAGTCCCTGGTTCTGACTTGAGCCCACGCCACATTCTTACAGTACTGCTGATGAAGTCAGTATTAACAGAGATCAGCTCAGGAAAAGGCACAGGCTGGGAGTGTTAAGTGCAAAGCTGGTGTTTAAAATCAGCTGGTGTTGGGGCTCTTGTGGACTGAGCTTCCTCCTATGGCTGCATAAGGACTACTGGTGCTGCAAGACAGCTCTTCTCCTGCCTTCCCCAGCACACTGCCTGTGTCACACAGGCAGCGCATGGATAGCATGGAAACCACTGTGCTGACTCTATGCACCAGCCTGATCCCGCACTGCTGGGTACACCTTTCCTTGGGGTAGTGCAGGATCCACTCCAATAAAGTTATCCCAGTGTGAAAACTAGCAGAACCAGATGCCTGCTGCTCAAAAAACAATACGACATGAATGTAATCCCTCTGTTACTGGGGGAACCTCACCTTTGAAAATGTTCTTTTATTGGGCTTAAAAAGGCTGGGAGCAAGAGATGCCAGTGTGACACTGGAAACTACTAGAATCTCCACATCGATTTAAGATTTCCATTCACTATCATAGATTTTCCAGTTTGCACTTCACTGACGCACTCAGTGCTGAAAGAGATGCACTAGTGGATCTTTATTATATTTATTGACCAGGTGGCCTTTACTGCCCAAATTACACTTTCTGCCTTCTATTCATCACGTCACGTGGACTTAATGAACAGAGAGGCTGGCGGATGTCAAACAACCAGGAAGGAGAAACAAAAGAGAAGCCAGGTACGGTGTCACCCAGCTTGAATTATCCTACTGGTACGTTTCACGTGGCTGTATCCATTCAGCTCCCCTGCAATCCTGGTGTGAATGAACCAGAGTCATTGCTGAGCAAACAGATAAGAGTCTGGAGGAACTGATCAATATATTTAGATAAGGTGTAACAACAATACGTAGCAACCTGCCTCTTTGTCTGTGCTTGGTAAAGAGAAGATGAGAGGAAAATAAAAATCCCTGTGTTGCCTGTTTCAGGCTAAATTCTTCTCTTTGACACTATGGTTAATCGACACCACCATAGCCACGGAGTTAGTCTAAATTCAGGATAACGCGGTGGCTTTATTACAAAACAAGCACTGAAATACATTTGGAAAGTCCTAGGTCTCGTTGGCAAATGAATCTTTTGAACTCAGCTCAGCCACCTGCACTTTCATGCACACTGGTTTAAAGAGAAGATGCTGTAAGCTTAAAAATAATTTGAAATATGTTAGTCATGCTTGAAATGGCCAAATGAAGGTTAGAGAAAAGCTGCAAAAAAACCCCAGCAACTTAACTGAATGTGAGGTGACATTAAAGGGTATGTAAATATTTATATGTAATTTTATAGTAGTATGCTATATACTGTACTGTTTTTGCTCGCACACAGTGATTCCAGCACTCACTAATTGGAATTTCTTCAACTCTGAAAAGGACCTTTATGGGCTTGAGAAAAACTAGGACAACATTGAATATGAAGTAGGTTTTGAGACAAGAGCCATTTACGTGACCAAGGCTGTATTCAATTGCCTTTGCTGTTTTCTTGCAGAGAAGCAGCTGAGCAGTTTTAAATAATGGAAGAAAAGAGTCTGTTTATAGAACAAACTGGAAATGAGACTCTACCTGCAGAGGCTGAGTATGCAGCCAAAGTCTTCCTCTGGCTTCACTTAAGCTTGAGTTTATTACAAAGCTAAAGAGGGCATACTTCATCTTTTTCTTCTTAAACTATATAAATATATATGTAGGCACACACAGGACAGAAAGAGCAAGTCTGTCTGTATAAAATCCGTTCTATCTTTAGCTGAACATTTTTCTGCTGTGTTAAATTCAGAACACAGTGCAAAACCAGAATCTAGAGAAGAGTATTCTGAGACCTGTTCAGTTTTCAGGGGATTTTTTCCTTATTGATAAAATTAAGACTATGAACAAACCTGTGTTTTATACAAGCATCTCTCACCCTTCTTTGACTACATGTTTGTAAGACAAAGTGTTTAACACAGGAAATTCACCAATTACACATTATAAATGATCTGTTGCTAATCAAATTTTACAGAAAAACTTACCAAATAGCTTATGGGTTAAAAAAACCCAAAGAAACCCAACATTAACATTGTGTAGCATGCACATTTGTCCAAATGTATTCGTCGGAAGCACACACACTATTACCCACTGGGAAAAAAATCAACCAAGCTGCCTCCCATCACAAAAGTGCAAGGTGTGTGGACAGGTTTCTTTAAAAACATTTTCTTCTCAGTTTACTTGGGTACTTTATTTACAGCCTGGCTCAAACTTCCAGCTGTGGTTTTAGCTTCAGTTTTCATCCACTGAGTCCAGTCGATTTCAAGTGTTGTTTTGGCCTGAGAGGTGTTGATCACCCAGCCCTTAGGAAGGCTTACTGCTTGGCAGCTGGCAACGCTGAACCCTTCAACACTAGCAGCGTACAGGCGGGCCCACAAAATGATTCATACCTTTAGCTGTCATTTTAAGCATGCCTGTCCCAGATTTAGGCAACCCCTCTCAGTTCTGCAAGTACTGATGTTCTACTTTTGCACCAGTAATATTTTCCTAAGTCTCTGGATGCTGGCTGCCTATTTGGCTTTGCTCTGGCTTGATCTGGTATGTGCCTACATAGATCACTGTCAAGATCAGGCCTTACAAAAACAGGACTTGTATTATCCTTCTGCTACTAGTCCCCTTTTTGGGAGATTCAAGGTTTGTTCCCTCCCTTGCTGATTATAAGGACTACAAGATGACCTACAAGACTACAAGAGAGTATCCCTTTTAAGTGGGTCTCTCCCCTTTTGAAGCTTTCCCATTCTGTTTTAAGTACTTAAAATTAGTCCCTGCAAGAGGACGTATCCCACATCTTATGCCTGGGCCAGCATCAGGCTGTGGAGTCAGTCCGCAATGGTGTCTAACACAGTTATTGCAGGCAAAATGAAACAGTATCAAGAGGAGACCACAGAGATGAAGGCTTGCTATGTAACTCAGTGCGGTGGGAAGATTCCTCAGAGATGGCTACTGCGGCCCTCAGCAAGTTCTTTGTGAAGACCAACCCAATGCATGTTAAGCTTATGCTTT